AGAACAACAGCAATAAAAGAACATGAAAATGAAAAAAGCAAAATGGTAACAGCAAAATAAATACTAAAGCTTTTTGTCCATATACGTAAGTATAGAAAGTTTTACACCATAGCTTCTATAAAAGATTACTGTATTTTATTTTAATTGTCCCAACATAATCCAAATCTTTAAACAAGTTGCAAGTACATCAGACATCAATTTATTTAGTATTTGGCATTATAACAGTAGGTTTGTGCTGCTGAAGCACCTGTTTCTTAGCAATAAGAATGGCATATTTACTTCTACTGTCAACAATCCCTCCAAAATGAACAATTTTCTTTTTTCCATTTAAAATTCTGTTGATAACTTGCCAACTCATTTCATTCTGTAAGATGAGTGGCCAATAAATAAATAAAATAATGAATGATTAAATAAAATTCTTTTATATTTTTAATGTAAGATTAAAATTAGCACCTCCACAGCAATCCGATTAGTAGTATTGAAAAGACTAAAACGGAACTAAATATAATATTAATGCGATTGAATAGCTCTTTAAGCCAATTGACTTCTGGTTTAAGACTATCTCTTGCTTACCTTTAATGGGAACCGGCTATCTAAAATGGGATGTCATCTCCCAATTTTAAGGAATCATAATTACATTATGGTGCAGTTAAAGAACTTCAGCTACAGTAAGTTAGTCTCCTAGGACAATAATGCAAGTCATTTTACCATCTGAACAGCAATGCAATTTTTCTGGGAAGCAGTGGTTGGCATAAGATGCACATTAAAAGGGGTCCTTCTAACCCTATTACTATGTCAATGGGCAGGAACTGTACCTAAAAAAATCCTACTTGGTTGAAAATGCATACATGCTTGTGTGCATGGCACACACACATTTACATACACACACACATGCTCTGTGAATAAAAGATAATTTATTTTATGTCATCTGGAACAAACTGATTTGAAGAAAGAAACTATTATACAGTAAACACTGTTGTTTTTAACATTATCTACTGTCAAATGGACAAGCCGCCAGACACAGTGCTGAATCACATAGTATCATCAATGTACACAGCAGCACAGGAAGCCCAACAGGAAGACAGCAAAGAAGGATGCACTACTAGATTGGACTTAAAACTCCAGAAGGGCCAAACGAGGCTAACAGTTATTTCTGGAAGGCGAAGGAAAAAAGCACAGAGATGGCTAAGTTGCTTACTACAGAATTCTTTTTAAAAATGTCCTTTTAAATAAAAACTAGATTAGGGAAAAAAGTACCGTATTTTTTGGAGTATAAAACTAACCTTTTTCCCCCCTAAATGGGGGTGAAAATTTAAGTATGTCTTATACACCAAATGTAGCTCTAGCCACCCACTGGCCCCCACCCTTTGGCCTCTGCCTCGCAGCAGTTATCTCCTTGCAAGCAAACAGCAAGAAAAAAACAGCTCCTTTCAGCTTCAGCACAGCCTAATTAGCACAAGTTGATTGGATCGGCCTCTTTGCTTGCTGCAAAGAGGTAAATTGCTGGAGCAGATTTTTTTTTCCCTTGTGCTAATCAAGTTATGCTGAAAACAAAAATGAAAGTAAAGCAGGCTGTTTGCTGCAACAAGGCAAAATTGCTCAGAGGCAGCAGCAGAGGGAGATTTCTTTTTCCTTACCAAAAAAGGTAGGTGCAAACAATGGAAAATTTAGGGCAAAAGAGGAGAGTTCAAGATTTTAAAACACAAAAGAAAAAAGGAGAAAGAAAAAGGCAAAAATAAAAATGGGAAGGGAGAAAAAGAAATGAAAGAGAAAGGTGTTATACATATTTAGAATTGAAATATGAATAGTAGTAAGAAATAAATGGGAAATCATGATTGTAAAAATGAAATGAATAATAATTGGAATATTTGTCTCTGTATTTTTGAAATCTAGACAATGATAAGTTTTTATTTTTTTATTTATTTTAGAAATATGAATACCGTATTTTCCGGTGTATAAGACGACTTTTTAAAACATGAAAATCTTCACAAAAGTCAGGGGTCGTCTTATACGCCGGGTGTCGTTCTCCTGTAACCAGGCAGACCAGCCCGAAAGGCTCTGACGAGCCTTAAATGGTTCTGGTGATCCAAGCTCTGACGATCCCAGCTGAGTTGCCTGCTCATCAGGCAACTCAGCTTGGATCGCCAGAGCCATGTAAAAAGGAAAAAAGTTTTCCCCCTTCAGCTTGCTTACTTTAGCTGCTAATCGCAACACTTGCCTTGCTTCGCTTGCCTGAATCCATTCCATCAGCAAGCCACTCCCTGCCTGCAATCAAGCAGGCAGGGAGTTGTGAACTTCAACTCCCAGAATTCCTTAGCCAGCAAAACAAAGCTGGCTGAGGAATTCTGGGAGTTGAAGTCTACAAGTCTTAAAGTTGCCAAGTTTGGAGACCCCTGTTCTACTGGGTAAGTTTTTTTCCCCTTTGGAAGCTTTAAAAAAAATAGTTAATTGGGGTTTTTTTTTAATTGTTCTTTTTTTAGACCTAGCCATTTAAAGTTTAGAAAGTTTTAAATTTAGTTTTCATATAAAAATAAAATAAAATAATATTTGTGCAGCTTTCTGAGATTTAGTGTGTTTCTGTAGTGTTTCACTCTAACTACACAAACACACAAAATCTCACAAAGCTATATGTGGAATTTTGTGTGTGTAAAGTGTGAAAGTTGTTTCTTTGGGCTTTTTGTGGCTGTGTGAGGTTCCTGCTTGTTGCAGGGGCCATTTTGGGTTTAGCACAGCTGCTTTTACATTGTGGGTGAGCCAGTTGATGTTTTTTAATTTTTATTTGGTGTGCGTTGGAAGAGGGGTAGTCTTATACGGCGAGTATAGCCCAAACCCTATATTTTAACAGGAAAAGTCGGGGATCGTCTTATACGCCCAGTCGTCTTATACACCAGAAAATACGGTAAGTATAAACTCTAACAATTGAAATACCTTTAATGGTATATGGTGGTGAAAGTAAAAAGGATTAAGTTGTAGCTTGGATAACAGCTAGAACATTTTAAAATTTAATTAGGGAAATTGTAACTATTGAATTATTTTTAATTATATATTATGATGAAAGTAGAAATTATGAAGTTGTGATTTGGAGGATTATATGGGCAAAACTATTTGGGTTATTGAGAGAGTTTAAGATGTGAAAATGAGTAACATAAGGCGAAAACTATTTAACTAGGGAATATACAAAAAAAAGATAGTTATATAACTAATTGATTTATATTAAAATGTTGAATTTGTATCAAACAATTGTAATATTACATAATTAACCAATGTGAGGATGGATATAAAAATAGATGACAATGGGAAGGGGTATAATATAGAATAGAAGGGAAAAATTGAATTTGATTTAAGATTAGAGATGAGGATGAAGGGTAATATTGGTTTTTTAAAAAAAATAGATGAGGAATAAATATGGCAAAAAGGAAATATAGAAATTATAAATTTAATTGAAATGACTAAACACTGTTTAAATTTGTGAACCGGCCAAATACTCTGTTCAAAGAAAATACATTGTATGTTTATATGTGTTTTTGTCTAAAAAATAAAAAAAACCTTTAAAAACAAAACAAAACAAAAAAGGTAGGTGCATCTTATACTCCGATGCGTCTCATACTCCAAAAAATACGGTATTTAACTAATTGCCTAAAATGGCAATAGATATTGCATCTTGCTGATTGAAATTTATGGAACACAATAAGTGGGGGAGGAACTCGATAGCGTCTTTCTTATAATGGACATACCGTAATATATAATACAAAAGTGATCTGTGAATCCTTTGTTTTTACCCTGGGTTTCCTTTCATATGGGAAATATATTGGAACAGTATGTATTTTTCTGGGGTGATTTTCACTGGATGATTACTTCTGGGAAAATTAACAATAGCATTACATTTTCTCCATTATCTGTCTAATCATGATCTGATTTGGTGATCTGATGGATACCAAAATCTTTTGTGACAGTTTTCTTGCTCTTTCCAACCTTGCAACTATCAAGTACCCTTTGGGATGTATGCCTCATTCACTTCTACAGAGAGGTCTCCAATAGAGCAATCAATACATTCTGTATTTTTTTTTAGGAGAGGGACTTTCATTTTCAAATCTGATTACTGTCTCATTTATTGGAACATTTGATTCAACTTACTCCCTTAGGAAAGTTGATTATCCTACAGTGAATGTTGGATCAACATAATACACAATGCTTCTTGGAATACTGTTTGTTTAACCAAAATTTCCTTATTAACTTAGATGAAGTTCTGATCTTACTGTGAATCACAGTATTGCAGGATTATCAATAGCAACACAGGTTCACTTCCTGTCACCGAGCATGGTATTTTTCTAATATGGAATCAATCTTTTCTTGATGACAATTTTGGCAAAGAGGAAAATGACAAATATTCATGTCCATAATGCACACAGAAATGATGAGTAGCACCATGCCATAAATATGTCAGAGATCTTAGTATCTGCATATTTTTAAGTGACTGATCTTTTTTATTATCTCAAAAGCCATCCCTTTTAAGTGAGGTGAGCTATTAAAAAGGTGAGCTATTAAATTGACATTTCCTTAAGCTGTATATGCAAGCATTTTATTTTTTATCAGAGGATCTATTACTAAACTAAAAACCAACTTCTCTGAACTGTGAGCTATCTGGGGCACCGTGTGATAGATTACAACATGAGCCTGAGAAAGCTTATTTAGTATTCCACCAATTCTTGTTCAAGTGATCCTTGATGGGACCCTACATAATTTCTGCTACCATATTTCTTCAAATAGAAAAATAGAAACAATTTCTTCAAATGGTTAAGCAAAAAATACTTAAATAAAGTTCAAGTAAATATGCTTCCCCAAAAGATCAGGCTAATAAGATCTTTAAATGAACCATTTTCATAATATAAACTCAAAGTTGATTTGTATTCTATCATAAATGGAAGATGCATGTCTGTCTGTCCGTCTATCCATCCAAACATCTATCTAATACATACACAAACAATGTACTTGTCTCCTAGAAAAGATAGACATGGTCCAAGACAAAGACATCCACAAAAGGCGAGATCCTGTACGCACGTGAGAGAACCAAATCAAAACTTTCTTAAACATTTCAGGTAAGTCCAGAAAAAGAGGAAAAAGAAAAAAATATCACCTGTGCAATCTGTCCAAGACTAAAAGGGTCCACAAAATGGCAGAAAACTATCTAATTTCTTCTGATATCTTTTTCCAAAACACAATATCCAGAGAACTGGTCTTGCTTTACCCTTCCATTCTAGAAGCAGTAAATGTGAGGTTCACGAAAAGCACAGGAGACATTACTAAAACTCCCTACTTCAGTGAAGCTTTGGGACGGGGGTGAAATCTAAATTTTTTTGCTACTGGTTCTGTGGGCGTGGCTTAATTAATGGGCGGGGCTTGGTGATAAGGTGACTGGGAGGGCGTGGCTTGTTGGCCAGGTGGGCATGGCCAAGTCAATCTCACTTCTTTGCCCTTTTTTAACCTACAAAACACAACACAACACAACTGGCTCACCTACAATATAAAAGCAGCTGTGCTAGACCCAAAATGGCCCCTGCAACAAGCAGGAACCTCACACAGCCACAAAAAGCCCCAAAAAACAACTTTCACACTTTACACACACACAGCACAACACAACACAACTGGCTCACCCACAATGTAAAAGCAGCTGTGCTAGACCCAAAATGGCCCCTGCAACAAGCAGGAACACCACACAGCCACAAAAAGCCCAAAAAACCAACTGTCACACTGTACACCCACAAAATTCCACATACAGCTTTAAGAGATTTTGTGTGTTTGTGTAGTTAGAGTGAAACATTACAGAAACACACTAAATCTCAGAAAGCTGCACAAATATTATTTAAAATAAAAAAAAGGCTCTGATGATCGCATGGCTCAGCTGGACATGGGGGGCAGGGACAGGGATTTTTGCTACCGGTTCTCTGAACTGCCTGCTGCCATTGCTACCTACTCGCCCGAGCCGGTCCGAACCGGGAGCATTTCACCCCTACTTTGGGACGATGTTCCTGTTGATGATAAAAAATAGTGGAGACTTTCAAGCCTCCTGGTTGTTCATTCACTATCCAAAGAACTACACTGCTACCCTGGCCTGATACAGTGTCAGTGGCTAGCCCCTTTCCATTCCTTCATTTATATAAGAAGGGACACAATTTTTTCAGCCTAATGTAAACACCTACCTGTTCTCTCTGATGTGTAAGAAGGTATTTTTGATCATCTGTCTACTGGCTTTGTGAAATTCTGGAGCTGTCCTTATCTCTATGCATATTACAGCTCAAAACAAAACAAAAAGTGAGAGAGAGAGAGACACTCGTTATAAAATAAGCCACTATAAGTCCCATAAGAAACTATTCCAGTGTTTTATAGGGACAGTAGCTGTCTTTCAAGAGCCATACATTTTTTCTTCAATGGTTACAAATGATCCAGAAGGAAATTTTAACAGTGCTTTACTCTTTACTTAAAAAAAAAACACCATTATTTTAAGCTTCTTTTGAATCTGCTACAATGATATATAAGCAACAACTCAAGACAAACGTAAAAACGCAGGAACTAAAAAGCAAGAACAAAAGCAAAGCAAATGCAAGGAAAGCAAATCCAAAAATATATCTCCTTTAACTTTCACCACTGTCAACGTTCCACCTGTTTCTTATCCACTGAATTAGGCTTCAGTCCTAAACATGCTTCTTTGGGTTATGTTATATAATTCATGGATATTTTTTTAAACAGTATACAGTATTAGGAATTCACTACAATCTGGATTCATTAGGGAAAACAAATAATCAACAACTTTGGTACTTTATAGTGAGGCTGCTTTTGTGATAGCAAAGGTTAAATTTGTATATATTTCTGGTACTCTTCAAGTCACTACCTTTAACCTATCAGTCCTATGCATGCAGCAATCAGGGGGGGAAAAAGCTTGCATATACAGCTTAAGGAAATGTCAATTTAATAACTCACCTTTAAAAACCAAAACTGATGGGGGAAAAAAACCAAATAGCTTACTAAAATTACCAGTTACTCAGATTAAGATACATTTTCTTAGTAAAAGATTTAAGTAATTCCAAAATAGCTTTCCTTAGGTCAGGGATCCTCAAACTATGGCCCACCGAAGCCATTAATCCGGCCCGCGCAGGACCATGAGGCTGTCCCATCCACATCACCCTGCTGGCCCCCACCCACCTTCTGGAGGCCAAGGCCAAAATTGGGATGTTCAGAGGCCTCAGGAGGCCAAAACCGGGCCGTTTTTAGGTGGCAGAGTGGTTCTGGAGGCTGAGGAGGCCAAAAATGGGCCCGTTTTTGGCCTCCCGAGAGAGAGAGGGGGAGGGAGAGGATTGTACTGTTTAATGGACTGCTAAATTGGCCACACCCACCCAGTCACATGACCACCTAGCCATGCTCACCCAGCCAGTCTGGCCCCTCAACAATCTGAGGGACCATGAATTGGCCCACTGTTTAAAATGTTTGAGGACCCCTGCCTTAGGTTATCAGTGGCACTGGTCTTTTATCTCTAGAACAGGAGTGTCAAAGTTGCGGGTCACCCCCCGCCCAGTTTAGGGAAGGGGGAAAAAGTCCTGATATGTCATATGATGCTGCGAGTTTGACACTCCTGCTCTAGAACCCCCAATATCATAGGCAACAAAAGTAAACCCTAACTTAAAGTCTAATGGGAGAAACAATGTGCAATAGAGTCAGAAGTTTAGTTAGTAACTGCAAATGTAACTTTTTTGCCTGAAATTCAGATTGCATCTTAAGTCAAATGAACTGAGGATTTATTGTACTTTATGTTCCATTTGCTATGGCCTCTCAGTGGAAAATGGTTGCTGCTTTCCATGTTTCCTGAAAGCATCTCAGTGGACCTGTGCGACACAAAATGTTGGATTAAATTAACTCCTCTCCTGATCTGGCATCGCTTCTGTTCAAGATCTGTGTTGTGGCCCGCCAACGGCCTGCGTGGATTGTGGCTGATCCCGACGACGAGGAGGCTGGTGTGGTGTTGCGCCAGCAGCCTGTGCAGCCGGCGCTCGAGTCAGACAGCGAGGAGGCTGAAGAGGATGTAGTGCCAGAGGCAGAGACTCAGCCAGGGCCTTCAGAACCTCCAGGGGCTCCTTCAAGTGAAGAGAGTGAAGTGGAGGAGCCTCTTCTCAATGCTCAAGCACGCAGGGCTGCCAAAAGGCAGGAGTGGCTATTCAGGAGGAGGTCTCCTCGAGAGTAAGGCTTGGGGTTAATTGGACACCCCCTTAGCCTATTTAAGTTCGCACACAGATAGCAAATGTTGCTGAAAACGTTTGGTCGTCGGACTTCGTTTAATCCATGTAATTCATAGCAGGCTGATAAGGACATTGGTGGTTAAAGCCTGCAATTTGAAAGGGGTCTGTTTGTATTAAACGGAGTTTTTGGAGCTGTGTGTGTGTGCTACACTTCTTGGGACCCGTAGCTGGGGCAGAACAATCTGGGATGGCAATGTTTCAGAGGCTACAGGGCCACAACTCAGCTGCCTCACTTTCTGGAGAGCTGTAAAGGCCATCTGTGAGGTAGTGCATGGTCGAAGGTTTTTTAAAATTATTATTATTTTGTGGCTTTTCAGATGGGATAAGGGTATGCAAGAAGGTTGCCTCAAAGAAGCAAACCCATTCTGTTACCACCCTTAAATCTTGAAAGATCCAAAATTGTGCCACTACAATTTGTCAACTAAATGGTTTAATTTTAATGGTGTGGCCTTGGGCGATACAGTATATGCAGTCCACTACATTCCCACCCAGTTTTTTGGCCATTCCCGAGTGCAGAAATATCATTTTTCACACAAACATGTTCCACTAATAATGAACACTGATAATGATATTGTTCACTGACAATGAATAGGCCGGGGTATTCCTGTTTCAGTTGATATTTTCTTATTGCTGAAAGCATATTTCGCAAAGGCATATTTCTCCCTCAGATCATATGAACCTTTGTTTCTTTGTTTCATGGTACCTTTACCAATCTCATCAGCCAGTCCTGTAATTTCCGCTATGTGACCAAAGTCAAGAATTGCTTTGCTCATTCAGTGAGCTGTTGTACACAAATAACACCCTACAAAGTGAGAAATGCTATAGTGAATTACCTAAGCGAGAGCCAAAAGTAAATCCTCCCCAACAGATCTCTCACGCACATGCTTTCATTTCATCCCAGAAGAAACTGATACACACCAAAAATATTATTGCGTAATGTTTTGTTTTAGAAAGCAAATGCTACATTTTTCCTAGTTTCCTCAGATTTAACCATCCAATCACATATGTATCCAATTGCTTTTACAATGGATATTTCTGAACAAATGAATTGCTAAAAGACACATACTGGTCAATTAAAAAAGCAGGCATATTTAAAAAGAAACTACTGCTAATGAGTATAAAACACCTAGAATAAAGTCAGCATGTAACAATATTAACAATAATCACAAAAGTATTTTATTTTATTGAAATTCTTCCAGGTTATATAGTCATCAACTTAATTTAACAATTGGACTTAAAAAAATAACTGCAACTTGGGGATAAATCAAATGGTTTTGATTGGATTTCTCCTCCCATTCTTTTTTCTTTACTTAGGAATTCTAAGGACGCAAGCATATGCATAATATTGTGACATTTATTACCCTTTGTCTTGGTCAAACCTTATTAACAAAATCAGGACTTTTCATATGGATCTAAGGAATCAGTACTACTATTACTATATATACAAACTCTTCCCAGGTCAGCCTATAAAGATTCATGAATTTCATCTATGCCGCCAGTTTATAGTACAATCTAGTGGTGGGTTGCCTCCAGTTCAGACCGGTTCACAAGAACTGGTAGTAAAACCGGCGGGAGGCTCCGCCCACTGACCTGAACATCATCAGGAAGTTTCTGCACATGTGCAGAACAGCACACGTGAGAGAGAACGAAGCGAGCACACAAACATGGTCCCGTTGCGAACCGGTAGTAAAGGTAAGTAGAACCCACGCCTGGTACAATCTACCTAAAATAGCAATAGCCTTTAGGCTTATATACTGCCCCATACTTTTTTACAGCACTCTCTGGGTGGTTTATAATAAGCATTATAAAAATGCCTCTCGAGCAAGGCCCTTATATTCTGTTTTTCACCTCCTCCACTCTAATCTGCTCTGTTGCCATTGTTTTTTCAAGCTGTTCCCAGAATATATTCTCTGATACCGGTTTCCCTTTTGTGATGCCATACATCAGGATTGAGCAACTACTTTTTCTGTTTAAAAGCAATAGTTCCCACCAAAATCATTTGTTGGAAGTTGCAACATATGTCAAGGCAAAGGGAGTAGGACAGCCTGTGCCCCCCCCTTAGATCCTTTTTTTCACTTCTCTCTTTTAGAGATACTCTTTTCGTTCTTTTCTTCCTCTTAACCATAGCACACTGCAAATAGCTGGTGCCAGAAGTCTGCTTTCATCCCTAGCAGAGGGCTTCTGAAAAAGGCCAAGAGGTTGAAGGGGGTCCAGTCTGCCTTAGCAGTAATAATGTTGTTCTGACAAAAGGAGTTGAAGTGGACAACATGCCACTTCTGATTTCTTTTTGACTATTCTTACTTTCTGTTTTCCAACCCCATTCCATTTGCAAGAGAAGCAATCATCCAGCAAACCAGAATTACATTTAATCACAATGGAAAAGTGGGCCGCTTTTCTCATTTATTATCTTCAGCAGCTGACACGTGATAGGCTTTAATTAGACTCATGACAAGGGGAGATAAACTTTTCCTTTCTCTAAGCCAGGGGTGTCAAATTCGCGTCATTATGTGATTTATCGCAACTTTTTCCCCCTTCGCTAAACCAAGCGTGGGTGTGGCCAGTTTGTGATGCATTTGGCCCACGGGTCGCGAGTTTGACACCCCTGCTCTAAGCATTGGCATATAAACCTCCAATATTTTTCAAAGTTAGCATTCCTCTATTTCCTTCAGACTCAAGTTACAGATAGTCCTCAAATTATGACCACAACTGAGCCCAGAATTTCTGTTGCTAAGCAAGACAGTTGTTAACTGAATGTTGTCCCATTTTATGACTTTTCTTGACACAGTTGTTAAATGAGTCACTGCAGTTGTTAAAGTAGTAGCATGGTTGTTCAGTGAATCTGGCTTTCCCATTGACTTTGCTTGTCAAAAGGTTGCAAAAGGTGATCGATCACATGACTCCTGGACACTGCAACTGTCAAAAATGTGAGTCGGTTGCCAAGTGTATGAATTTTGATCACATGACCATGGGGATGCTGCAATGGCTGCCCAAAGGGGTGGGTTCTAAATTTTTTTACTACCGGTTCTGTGGGTGTGGCTTATTTTGTGAGCATGGCTTGATGATCATGTGACAATTCTTTAGGATTTAGCAGACTTACTGGTCTACCAGGCTTTTAACTGCTTGCAGAGCTGTACCGTCTACTCATTTGTTTTTGGAGGCACCGGTCTATTCATTTGTTTTTGGAGGCACCGGTCTACTCATTTGTTTTTGGAGGCACCGGTCTACTCATTTGTTTTTGGAGGCAGTGGTCTACCCATTTATTTTTGCAGGCACCGGTCTACTCATCTGTTTTCGGAGGCACTGGTCAGCTGTAGGGCTGCCCTTTGAAGACCCGCGGCAAGAGTTTAAACAGTTTTTTTCCTTCTAGCCGATCAGCTGGGACTCGGGAGGCAGCAAAGATTGGGGGTGGGGCCAAATAAAAGGTAAGAATAATGTGCGGGGGACGGGGGCCCCAGCTCCCGAACAAAGAGAACCGGTTCGGTGACGTCATATCGTCACTGCTACTGGCTCGGCCGAACCGGGCCGAACCAGGAGCAACCCACCACTGGCTGTAAGTGTGAAAAACGGTAATGTCACTTTTTTCAGTGCCATTTTAACTTTGAACGGTCACTAAATGAACTGTTTTAGGTTGAGGACTACCTGTCCTTAGAATTTTGAAAATTTTTCTGAATAATTTAGCAGGAAATGCCCAGTATTATTTCTCCTGCAGATAATTACAACATCAGAAAAAAAATAGACACAATTTTTTCCAAGCACATTTCAGCAAACATTTAGGGGAGATAAGGTGGAATCAAGACAATATTCTGAATATAATCCATGACCTTATATCATCAATGAGCAGATTTCATGCTGTCTAAGGGCAAAATTCTTGATGTGCTTCCATGCAGCTTATATTTGTTAAGTTATTTTTAGGATGTGTTCCTTCAAGCACAGATTGGTTGTTTTTAATTTCCTCAATCTTTGGCATACTATGATACCATAAACTGTGAAACTGGCACCACTTCTTGCATCTTTTTATATTAAGTAAACAGTAGACATTCTCCTTTGGGGGAACTATTCTTATGACCTGCAGAAGCCATTCTGGATAAGAGGACAGCAAAAGACTCATTCAGCTTTTTCTTACTTGCTGGAGATAATGACAATAAATACTTAAAAATTAAGATTTCCTTCCAGAGATTTTGTACTTTATCTATGAAATCCTGTTCTGTTTTATAGGTCTAGTTTATACAGATTTCCTAATTTTTCACCTAGGTTGTAAAAATATCTGGGTGCTACAGTATAGCAATTTGGCATACAAATAGGAGATCATATGATTCAATATGACACTACAGAAAAAGACATACAAAGTCACCTACAAAGTAAGCATGTTAGGATTAGATAAGGAGAGAGCGATAAGGATGATTTTCTATGTGAAAGGAAGAGTGATTAGTCATGTGACTTCCCATTTAATAGTCCATAATTCTATGCATACGTATCTACTAGTATTATTATCACTACAGAAAAACTAAGAAAGATAAAACATCCAACAGAGTATTAAGAGTACTTAATAGAGACTTAATATTTTTTATCAATATGCTGTAAATGTCACAGGATATATCTTTCTATTACTCTTTACACTAGATGATAGAGTATTTTATTTTCCAGAACTGTAAAACTATAAATTCAAAGCCATCCAATACAATAATTGGAAAATAACTTCCAGTATATTTAAAATAGCCTACCTTATTATGCTCATAATTGTATGGGATTCTGAGTGTATCCATAGCTCTGATCATAGACTGTATTGCTGTAAATATATTCTGATACACAAGCTTCGTGAACCCTCTTTTGTCTTCATCAGAATATCCTGAACCGTGAATGATTCTCATTTGTTTGATAAATGTGCTTTTGCCACTTTCTCCTGTACCTGCAAAACATTTGAAAAGAGATGCATCATTAGGTTACAATGGTTGTAGAAAAAGCATCAGCTCCACAACTTTACTTGCCTATTTTAAGAATTAAACTAATAAAAGAATATAAACCCTAACAAGTAACTTATTCCATTTCACAATACTAGGTTAATGAATTAAATCAAACCTAAAACCTTTGTCACTATAAGCGTTACTTAATCTCTGCCTTGTTGTCACATGAAGAAGTAATTTGCACCTAACAATTAAACATTTTATATACAGTGTAGATCTCATTTTCCAAGTGAGAATATTCTCTGTCACTAATAATCAAGTAATTAGCTACTTCATCACTGTACCACTAGAACCTTATGTGATAATGAAATACAGAAAAATATCTGCTTTAGACCCCCCTCAATCAATTTTAAAAGCATTTCGCTCAAAATTCCCCAAGTTTGTTTACACTTTAGAATTAGTTTTAATTTTGCATTTGGAAGTATTTATGTGCCTGTTCTCTTTCCTATAAGGAACACTTTGTCCTTTTCTGCAAGAAAACATTTTACAAGCATACAAAATATAGAAGACCCTATATACATGACATAACAGCAGAGAGGCAATGCTTCTATTTTTGTGTCACAATAAACAAGTTCATGCACTAAAAAAAATGAAACTCGTATTCATCTCCTGATTTCACTGTAGATGTTTAATGTAGATGCCCCAAAGGAAGACAACTCTATATATCTGCCTGCCAACCATTCAATATTTTTTTTATATCCAGGATGAAAATTAGAAAAATGAGAACATCCAAATTGTGACTAGGCAGATAGCAGGAAAAAGAAATTTATCCCCACATAATGAAATTAGTGCCTTTTAACAATTTTGCAGTTTCTGTACTCTCAACATTATTTTGATACGATATGGTTCTCTAGTCCTTGAAGTTCCATATACCTGCCACTGATACTATAGAACATGATTCTTAGTGTTATTTTCATAAACTGTCTAATAAGGAATTATTAACCATCTTGTTTGCAGTTCAGCCCAGATGGGTCATTTATATCACATGTAGGCAATGCTAGCTGTTGGTAGATTACAATCAGCCTTCTCCCTTATAGTGAAGGATGCTTGAATGGAATGAAGAAAGCTGGATTGTATTTGAATTTTATTTGAATTCAAACGCATTGCTGATTTACAAAGCAATACAGCATAAGAGACAGAAAATTTGTTGTTGTAGTCTAAAAGAACCATTCCAACAAGTGAACTTAAAAGAAGGAGTAGGTCACTCAACTTAATCAAATTTACTTTTTCATTGACAAATGTAAGATTGCATGTAAGACCCTCAATGTATTTGTTAAACATGAGGAGAAAATTTGGAAAATCCAATTCATAGTTTATTTTGAACATCATTGAATAATACCAAGCTGGCACAATATACTATCATTTTTTTCAATTCTGGAAGGGAAAAATGGTACAATTATTTCCCATATACTGTTTTCTTTGTTCTGTATTGTAAAAGTAATTTAAATCCTCAACAGATCTGGGGTTCTGTTCTTTGATGATTTTTTTTTTTTGCATTAAAATTCTATACCAACAGAAATCACCATGTTGGCTGTAAGTATAAATCCTGGAAAACGATAACTTTGAGATACTGTTATATTATTTTGGAATGCCAGCATATTTTAACATTAAACTGCTATTGTAAATATTTGTAAACTGCTCAGAGACAGTGAGATGGGTGATATATAAATGTGATTAATAACATAAATAAATAGTTGACCCAATGTAACCCAGCTCTTTGTTTTAAGTTGGAGTGAAAGGAAACTCTAGCAGATTTTCTTTGATAATGTTTCTGGTCTAAAGTTCATCAACAATGAATTGCAGCAAACTTTGTACCATCTATCTAAAGATGAAGTGTCAGTAAGATAAAGGAGTTGTTGATTAACTTGCTTCTTCAAGTTCATTAATAGGCATGAAAACTCTAAGTGGCCTATTACATATACAATAGCAGAAAAACTCTATTGAACCTTTATGCTTTCTATGTGCCAGATGAAACTTGTGGAGTTCACTGAACTGAGTTTTGCTTTGCAATGGTCATACAGTGAATTCAGGTTTAGTGGTCTGTCGTGACCAAATTATTTCACCAATTTCATTGGATCTATTCAGCCTAATCAGAGTTGAACAAAAAATGACCTCAAATGTTACAACCTCCAGCTCAACCCAGCATCTGCCAAAGCACTTCAGGGAAATGGCTACCCAGCCTCTCTTTGAAGGCCACTATTTGCCTTGCCTTCTTTCTAATGTCCAACCATTCTTAATAACTCTACTTCCCAGTAGTTTTAACCTATTACGTTGATCCTGGCCCTGGGGATAACAAAAAAACAAGCCCATTCTCCTCTCTTTGTGACAATCTTTTAGATATTTGAAGGCTACTATAATCTTTCTCTCTCTTTCTCTCTCTCTGTTCTATTTTCTGCAAGCTAAACTTAATTAAACTGTTCCTCATAGGAGTTCATTTCCAGTTACATTACCAACTCAGTCCAATTTGTTGTTGCCCTTTTACACTGCAGTGCCCAGAGCCGGACACAGTATTCCAAGAGGGTGTTGACCAAGGCAGTGTAAATTGGAATAGCAATAGCACTTAGACTTATATACCGCTTCACAGTGCTTTACAGCCCTCTCTAAGCGATTTTACAGAGTCAGCCTATTGCCCCCAACAATCTGGGTCGTCATTTTACCAACCTCGGAAGGATGGAAGGCTGAGTCAACCTTGAGCCTGGTGAGATTCAATCTGCCAAACTGCTGGCAGCCAGTGATCAGCAGAAGTAGCCTGTAGTACTGCACTCTAACCACTGTGCCATCATGGCTCATATTGAACAATTACTTGCTGATTCTATGTTCTTGTTAGTATATCCCAAAATAGCACTGACTGTTTTAACAGCCACATGATACTATGGGCCTACATTCAACTTTTCTTCTATTAGAACATCTAGATGTTTTTCATATGTACTACTCTCAAGCCAGTTCTCCTCTATCCTATGCTTGTGCCTTTCATTTTTCCCTATTAAACTTCATTCTGCTTGGGTCCACTGATGAAGTTTATCTATAATGTATTTAGAAGTAGAACTATTGTGGAAAACAAAGCAAAGGTACTACCAATAGTAATAGGCCCTTTGGGAACAATCCCAAAACATCTGACCACAATGCTACCATCAGCATTGACAAAATCACTATCAGTCAACTGCTTTGCTTGGAACAGGTTATATCATGAGACAACACTTTAATACCAACAAAGAACATCTGCCTATTCCAGGTCCTTGAGGAGTTGATCAGTAGATATAAAATGCCAAAAACAATCCAAACATCTAGCTATGTGACCAACTATAACAACATTTTTTAAAAAAATTATGTGTCATCAGGGCAATGCATACAATACTTGTCTCAATCTTCCAATCAAAGCTGAAATAAAGCCAATAACAAGTACTGAGAAAAAAAGGTATTTTGCCAGGATTTCCTTGTGTCAAACCTATGCCTGCTCTTATTAACTTTGCATTCCTATCGAAGTGTTCATAAACTTGATGCTTAATAATCTGCTGAAGGACCTTGTCCCATGCTGCTGTCAAACTGATCAGTCTGTAATTTCCTGCATTGTCCTCCTTTCTCTCTCTTTTTTTGAATACAGAGGCAACATTTACATTCCTCCATTCTTCTGAAACCTTACCAGTTCATCAGTAAGGAAGAATATAGTAAGCAATAGTATACTTCACTACTCTGGACTGTACCCAGTTTATATTTCAAAACCCAAATTATGTCATTGTTTATATTACAATTGCATAGCAGGTAGTACTTATTATACATATTTTATCAAGAACAAGTTAGATGTGGTAGAATGTAGAAGAATGTGAAGATAATCTAGATATAGATATGCAGATATGCACTAAGGGAGGAGGATAAAATAAAACTTAGTCCTGGAAAGGGAAAGTGTGAGAAAGGAACTCAAAATAATGCCACTTAACTCTGTTGCTATGAGAGGAGACAAAGGCAGGCTTTCATAATTAAGTTGTTATGCGCTACAATAATAAAGTAATATTCCTCTGATTCTTCTTCCTGTGATTTGATCTACAAGAGCCTTGGTGGCGCAGCGGACTAAAGTGCTGTTAAGTAGCACTTAGCTGCCAGCTGTCTGCAATTACTGCAAGTTCAAATCTCACCAGGCTCAAGGTTGACTCAGCCTTCCATCCTTCTGAGGTAGGTAAAATGAGGACCCAGATTGTGGGGGCAATAAGCTGACTTTGTATAAAAAGAACACCGCTTGGGGGGGGGGTGCGAAAGCCCTACTAAGCAGGTATATATAAAAGTATGAAGGCTATTGCTTAACGCATTGTAAGCCGCCCTGAGTCTCCGGAGAAGGGTGGTATATAAATTGAATGAATGAATGAATGAATGAATGAATGAATGAATGAATAAATAAATAAATAAATAAATACTTTGAAGGGTAGATATATGAGCTGATATGAACCATAATCATGCCTTATTATCCCAAACTTTTTTCATCTGGTCAAGGGCTAATATCAGCATTTTCATTCCCATTGAAGTTAACATTTATAGTGGAGGGAAGAAAGCCATATAAGGACAAAGTTGTTCCACCATCAATTTTCCCCAAGTGAACTCAAATGTCTGAATCTAAAATGTGTATCAATTCACGTCATGCCCACAATTTTTATGTACAGGCCCCTTGGCTTACAACCATTCATTTAGTGATCATTTGAAGTTACAATGGCACTGAAAAAAGTGACATGACCATTTTTCACACAACTGTTGCAGCATCCCCGTGTAACCAAAATTGGGATGCTGTAAACTAGCTCATATTTATAACGATTGCTGTTTCATGTAAATCACCTTTTGTGACCTTCTGACAAAGTCAATGGGGAAGCCAGATTCACTTAACAACCATATTGCCAACTTAAGAACTGCAGTGATTCATTTAACAACTGTGCAAGAAAGGTTGTAAAATGAGGCAAAACTC